TTCACAAGACCCCAGACAGGTGATCATCCAACCTCTTTTTCAATTTGCCCAGAACAAATTTGCCCAGAACAAATTCATTCAGAACAACTGAATTACTGGGGAAAAAAGGAATCTTCCACTCTGTGAAGTGTGCCTTTGTTATGAATCAGAAGCAGGTAGCTGCAACCCCAGTGTAGAATTTTTAGAAGAGTGCTTCTGTCTTCTCTTTTGTGTCACCCTAATAACTATTGCAGCAAAAGCATTCTCATTTTTTATATTGAACATGCAGTTGTCTTACAGCACATACCAGTTGCTACCACATCTGTACCTTTATCTTCCTCTTCTTGCCTTTTATCTCCTAGCTTATCATTCATTATAATAGTAAAGTAGAAGGGAGAGTGTACCAGTCTGTTGTTTGTCCAGCAGCACACAGGTCAGCTGGAGACAGCATTTGCTCTTTGTATTAAAATTTTTTTTAAAGGATATTGCATACAACATGCACTCTAATTTAGCTGTGCTAGGGAGTCATTAGCAATATACAACCAGAGAACAGAGGATGATAATAAGGGTGATCAAATAAGGGTTTACAGTAGAACAAAACCTAACTTTCTTACAAATCCAATTATTGTTTTTGTAGCACTCAGTTTCACCAACTTACTTATTTTACGGTGAAATCTCATTGTAACTAACTCACAGCCACATTGCAAATTAGTGAATGGTATGAATCAGTGTGTAGGTGAACACACACAATGAATAACTCAGAAGAATCCAATACAGAATCCACTTTAATCCTTTAGTTGATAAAAAAAATGGTCACGCTAATATGACTGGTTAAGATAATACAATTTCTGTAGATACTGTGGTAAAAATGAGTTCTTGTTATGGACCCACTCTACAGCATTGTGTCTGCTATTAAATTTTTGTGGATTATGTACAAGTAGTGAGGTTTTTTTATTAGTGAAATGTCTTATTCATAAGAATTGGTAAACAGCATTATGGAGCTAAGAGAGACAACGTGCAGTATCTAATATTGGTTGGTTTAATATCATTGCAATATCAGTTGTATTTATTTTCAGTTTTTTAAAATTCTGATGTACTTGCTGTCCATGGAAGTGATCATTCTCAACTGTCAGGGATTGCCACCGCCACCAACTTCCTTTCAAATCACAACTTTTCTCCCTAGTCTCCTATCCATAGTAGTAAAGATTTAATAAAGATTCTCCCAGTTAGGAGATCACTGGCATATATTGTCTTTCTGCCAATATTTATTCAAGAGAGACATCTTTATTCATCTGACCTGGCTGCAGGCAACAGCAAGATGACGTTGCTGGTGCTGAGTCCTCAAAAAAATGCAATATGGATTGTGAGGTTCAGTTTCTACTTCACATGCTGTGCAGTAATTCATAGCAAGCTGAAATGATTTTGCTGAGCTGCACCTAAGATGCCATGTTGTTAAACACTTTCTTGTTGTTACTTCCCCCACACCTCTCTCAGTAGGGCTAATAGCAGAAACAGAGGACTGGTTCCCTGCATCCTCGGTGAAACAAAAAGGGAATGCTTCTAACGCTGTTGGATGAGAGAGATCCCTTTCCTCTGAAGAGAAATTAAACTGATGGACAATCTGTACTGGAGCCATGGGATGTGGCACTTCTGTAACTGAGAGTCAGGCAAAAAAATCAGAGAAAGGTGAGTGCCACCAGTGCCTTTGCAGTCATCTTTGGTTCACTTGTAGTTCATTTTCAACACTAAAAGAAAACTAAAGGGATGGTATTTTCCCCAAAACCTGTTCAATCAAATAGCTGCTTATATTACATTTTGTTCTAAATGCTCCTTTTGTAAGAGTCACATGGCTTTTAAATGTTGGTCAAGGTTGGGAGGCAACTTGCAGAATAACTCTGGTAATTAAACAGAAATTGAAACCAAATAGAGCTACCACACCGCTTGTCAGTATTAGTCACTGCACCACTGAATGATTTGTGTGAAAAGCAAGTTTTAATTGAATTTCTCCCCTACTCCCTGTGAGTCTGTTGATTGAAAGCCTCTTCAGTGCTGAGGTGGAAGTTCAATTAAAAGTTAGTGCAAGCAGGTCTCATTTGTTGATAGAAATGTCACTCAGCAATATACAGGTAAACCCCCCTTAGCGTTCTTAATTGGTTCTGGAAAAACTGAGTGCTAAGCAAAACCCT